AGTTGTAATCGGCCATCCGTGAAAAGGAGGCATCGCAAAAATTTATTGGAGTCTTTAATATAGGTAAGCAACGGAAAAAAATGCAAATATCTTAAGGCTAATACGAAGTCATGAGCGAAAACGAAGCACGTGTTCGTTTCTACTCTGTTTTGCGGGTCTGATATGCTAAATAAGGCCTTCATCACGAAGACAACATCGGGCGAGCTCGGATTTCGTAGTCGGAAATCTACCCGAGATGACCTCCTTCTGACGGATGTCGGAGTGCGCTTTCCCATTGCTCGAGCTACAACCTCGAGCCCAGGGTCATTTTAGCTCTTTGTCAGCGGTATGGTCGCTAAATAATGACTTCTGGGAGAATGGATTAATTCAATTTTTCTGATTGGTTGATAGGAAAACTATAGACTCCACACAGGTAGTGTGATTTAAAGAAGGGATCGATCGGGCCGGAAACAGAGCGTTAACAACGATAAATTAAAATCGATTTTACTGTTATTATTGTTGTTTTTTGTTCATTTTTTTTTTCGCGTGAAATTTTTCACTTGTAAACTGCCTGTCGATGCGTGAGAAAACATCCAACCAAAGCTGTTGCATGCTGCAATGACGGGAAGCTGTTCTTCATGGAACGATGGATTTCTCTCGTTGTTGTCAAAGACGCAGAAGTAGAAATAAATCATTATATTGATTTGTTTGGAGTAAAAAGGAGAAAAGTAGACCTTGTTGAGGCCGTGCAAGCGTGCGGAAGTGATAGTGTAAAAGAGTACCACATCAGAATAGCATATGTCGGATATGCTTGCTACAATTTTGTATTCGGTATCAAAGAAGAAATCGAGAAGTTTAGCTAAATATGCAAAGAAAAAAGCAAAGAAAAGGGTTCCGTTCTTGAAAAAATAGAGATTAGGCATTGACAAATTCGCAGACCGTTTAGGCTCTGAACTTGACCGGTGTCACAGCGGATTTGGACCCCTGTCCCAGCGGATTTGGACCCCCCTAGAATTGGACCCCCCGGTCCAAATC